AAAATAAAATAATAAACTAGCTTAAAAAAAAAAAAAAAAAAACAGAAGCTTATTTAATAAAAAAATTTATATAGAAAAAGCTAAATCTTTTCATTATATATATATATATATATATATATATATATATAAGAAATAAAATGAAGATACACTTTTATATATTATTTTATATCTATAATGAATTTATATATTGTCTCAAATAAATTTACAAGCATTGATAATATTTTCACTTTTGAATACGAATTCTTATTTACAATATATTTGGTTTATTGAATTAAAATAAAAATAAAATAAAATTTGAAATTTACACTATAATATTATAAATACTCTGTGTTATTTTTCTCTTTTTTTATTATAAAACTTTTCAAGACAAATTAATGATACTCTTTCTGCACACAAAAGTCACACAAATAATTACATACACATTTTTCTTTATTTTTTTTATTAAAAATTATTAATTATTCTAAAAAATGAATATAAAAAGAGAAATTCAATATATCAAAAAACAAAAATTATACATAAAGGCCATTTATTTATAAAGAACATTCTATGTAAAAAAAAAAAAAAAAGAAAAAGAGGTCCTATATCTTAAGATTACTCATATGATATATTAAATAAATAAATAATAAAGCTAATTTATTTCAGCTAGTATAGATTCATTAATGTTTTCTTTACACATAAAAAAAAAACTGTTTATTTTTATTGTATAATAAAAATAAATTTTGTAATAACAATTTATAGGAAAAAATGTAAAAATTGAACATGTTATAGGTATTCATATTCATTTATATATATTTCTTTTTCTTTTTTTTTTTTTTTTTTTATTTTGTTTTTACATTTCTTGCTTAAAATGGAAGAAAATATAATAGAAAAAATAGAAAAAATTTCACTAAATACAATTAACCAAGAATCTTATAATGAAAAAAAAGGGCTAAAAAGTAAAATTAGAGATTTAGAAAATATTATAGAAACTAAAATTCTGCAACTACAAAACCAATTAAAAGAATCAAAAGAAAAAGAAAAAGTTGATGAATATGATTTTAGTGAAATACTCAATGAATTTAAAGAAGATATTAAAAAAAAATTAGAAGAAACAAATGAATTAATAATAAAAAAAATTGAAGAACAAAATATAAAACACTTAAAATTATTTAATATTTTAGTATCATTAAAAAATGAAAATTCTTCAATTAATAAATCTATTTCTTTATTAAATGAAAGAATACACATGATAGAAGAAGATATTGGTGATTAGATTAAAAAAAAAATAACTTTTTTATATGATAAAAATATTAACTCGTTCATATTTAATATGTCATATTATTTTTCATTAATCTAAAAATAGCTTTTTTTTTTTTTTTTTTTTTGAATTAATATAAAATAACAAAAATAACTATTTTATTTTATTTTTTTTTTTTTTGTTTATTTAATAATTATACTCTTATAAAAATTATTAATTTTATAAAAAAAAATAAAATTTCTGTTAACAATTATTCATCACAATTTTTTTATAAAAAAAGGAAAATACTGAATAATACTACATTATTATATATATTTATATTAAGATTATTTTTTCTCTTGCGCAAATGTGCATAAGATAATATATTAAAAGTTTTTTTTTCAGTAAAAAAAAAAAAATATTTAAGATAATAACAAATAAATATTAAAATGAAAAAAAAAATAAAGTTGTAAAAATAGAATATAAAAGGAATATAATGAAAAATTAAGCAAAAGAAACATTATAAACATAATAATCCTTGTTAATTCTATCAACTGCTGACATTTATTTAAATTATTATGCAATTTTACTAATTAAATATGATTAATATCTTAAAAAATTTTTTTACTAAGTATTTTATTATTTGTGCATACCATTTCCTTTTTGACATCTTTAACCATTTTTTAAAAGAAAATCAATAAAATTCTATATTTTATGAAATTAAAAAATAATAAACAAAAAAAAAAAAAAAAAAAAAATTATAGTTAAGACAATAAATTTATTTTAATTTTTCCTTTTTTTATCTTAATATTTTTCTAAAGTTTGCATTTTTTATGCTTGTTCAACCAAAAATGTGTTTGTTAAATTATTAGTTCATATATATATATATATATTTTTTTTTTTTTTTTTTTTTTCGTTTCATTAAATGGAAAATTTTAACAGTTTTTAATAAATTATGTATATATAAGCATATTTTTTTGCTGAAAATTTTATATTTTATTTTATTTATTTTTTTTTTTTTTGTGTTTTTAAAAAATGTCATCATCTTCTATAACAAATAATTCTTTAAAGTCATTAAAAAAAGATAAAAAGGATACAAAAAAATTAGTTGAAAATCCCGATGAAGACACAAAATCTAATAAAAGTGAAAATATCACAGATAAAGCATACAAAAAAAAAAATAAAAGTAACTATTATTCCTTAAAAAATTTAGTATTAAAGGAACCACAAAAAAATAAAAAAAAATTAAATAAAAATATCTTAATAAAAAAAGAGTTAAAAAGTAAAATATGCAACCCCCAAAAAAAAAAAAGAAAGTTAAACATTAAATTCAATAAATCTTCTATTTTATCAATAAAATCAAAAAAATCAAAGATAACTAAAATAAATTGCTTATTAAAAAAAAATAAAAAACTAAAGAAGAGCGATAATAAAAGTGCTAATAATGAAAATAATATTTATCAAAAGAATGAATACAAACAGAATAATAAAATATATAATTCTTTTAAAATATATAACATTGATAAATTTAAAAAAAATAGAAATATAAATCTTTTAATGAAAAGCAAAAATATAAAAGAATCAAAAAATATAAATAATATGACAATTAAAAGATATAAGGATTCTAATAAATTAAAAAATATGGATGATAGCTTAAATAAATGCAATATATACTATAGTGACATATCTGATAAATCATTTAGTAAAAAGAATAAAGATGACATAAAATACAATTGCTTAAATAATAGCAATATAATTGAATATAATGTAATTAACAATGACTTATTATATTTTAGTGAGAATAATGAAAATAAAAGTTCTAGGTATATTAATTGTAATAAAAATAATATCTTAAATGATGAAAATTTTTCCAGATCAAATGAGAATGATTTTTATAAAAAGAACTTTAAAAATAAAATAAATTATAAAATAATTTGTAACAATAATTATGATTTTTCTGAAAATCATAAAGAAAATTTATATAATAATGAAATTATTTTAAATGAGAATTGCTATATGGATAAAAAATCTAATATGAATAGTTACAATTCAAATAATTCTAAGGAAGAATTATATTGGAGATGTCATGTAACAAATAATAATGATGAGAATTTTTATAACAATAATGATGATTTATCAAATGATAACAGTAGTATTAAAAATGAATTTTATGAAAACATTTATGATACAAATGAATTGGTTAATAATAATCTTGATGATAACTCAAATTTGAACAATAAAATGAATGAAGATTATCTCTTAAAGAAAAATTATGTATCTTGTGATACTTCTAATAATTACATAACTTATAAAAAATATATTCTCCAAAATAATTCAAATAGTAGTAGTAAACTGGAGGAGGAAAATGTAAATAATCTAAATAACTTCAGTGCAAAAGAAAATATTAATAAATTCAATATCATTGAAGACATAAAGAATGAAAATATAAGAAATGAAGGAAATCATATTTTCATTAAATTTAAAGAAGAAGATAATATTAATCTCTTAAGTATAAAGGATAAGGAAAATTCTCTTCATAGCTATGAAGAAAGTGATAAAAAAATAAAATATGAATCTGAATATAACAATATGGAAAGAAACGTACTGAATGATGAAATAAAAGATGAAAATAATAAAAATTCTAAATCTTCTGATAGTTTAAATGAATCCCTTTCACATTTATCAGAATCATTTAATTTGAAATGCTTACCAGAAATACCTGATGATGCAAATTTAATAAGTAGTAATGATAATTTATTTAGTTTAAATGATAAGAGTCTCTACTCTCATTCTAATTCTAGTTTTAAATTAAATTTAGATTTAGTTAAAGATGTAGATAATATGTCTACAGGATTTTATAACAATAAAAACACATACAAATCATATTTAAATGAAGAAGAAAAATCTTATGATGATGATTTTACAGATAATTTATTACATAATAATAGCAATTCAATAATTAATATAAATAATCAAAGAAAAATGAAAAATGTAAGTAATGAAAATTTTATAGTAAGCAAAGAAAAAAAAAAAAAAAAAAAAAAAAAAAAAAAAAAAAAAAAAATCAATAAATTGATATCACTTAATAGTAATATAAAAAATGAATTATCCAATGAAAAACCTAATAAAAATAAACATTCTAAAGTTCTAAGCATTTACAATAAATTATGTCAAGAAGTTAATAAAGATCATCTTATTAAAAATAAAGGAAGTATTATGGAAAAAAAAATATTAAACTCTTCAACAATTTTAAAAAAAAAAAAAGAAAAAGTAAATTTAGGTAAATTATCAAATTCAGATAATTTTTTCAAGACAAATAAAAATATGAAAAATAGAATGAGTTACTCTGATATATTATGCGATAGCAACATTTGCAATTCTGTGAATTTTAGAAATAATAGAAGTGATATAAAAGAAGAACATACAGATGAAAAATGTAATTCATTACAGAAATTATTTTTTAGTTATTCTTTAAATAGTGAAAAAAGTGATAACATATCTATAATTCATGTTGATAGTTTAGAAGATTTAAAAGCATCAGATAAAAAAAATAATTCATTGGATAATTTAAATGAGATAAGCAATACAAATGATACAAATCTTAAAAAAATAAATGAAACAAATAATTTATTATATGGAATAAAGGGTGAAAATAAGGAAAAGGAAAATTACATTCCTATTGAAAAAATTGACAAAATGGGAACACTAAATAATTATGTAGAAAAGGATTATTTTAATGAAGGTATAATTTGTGATGATAGAAATTATGTAAGTAACATTATAAATGATAATACAAAATTCAATGAAGAAATAAAAGTATTAAATGAGAACCATAATGATAGTTTTGTAAAGATAACTAGTAATTATACATCTGACATTTATTATTATAATAAAAATAAAGAAGAAAATTACCATGAAAAAAATAATTATAAGAAAAAAATGAAAGATATATATATAAATAATAATATTGATAATAATAATAATTTAAGTATTTCTTATAATTTTGATGGATATAAAGAAAATGGTACAAAATTAAGAAATGATATATTATCTTCTAAATTAAATGATACAAATAACAATTTTAAAGAACTAAATGAAAAAAACAATGATCAAATGAATAATGATAATAACTTTAAGGTCGATTTCGTATATTCATCATCTACAAGTGATACTATTTCAGAAAATGAGAAAGAAAGTATGTATATAAATTGGAGTACATTATTAAAAAATAAAAATGAAGTAACATCTAAGAAAAATATTAACGATGACTTTCATATTAACTATTGTACTATTAGAAAGAATAATATAATAAATAAGAAAATAAACAATTGGTTTTCTGATAATGATTTAAAAAAGAATTTTGATAAATTACTAAATATTAAAAGTGATAAAATAAAGAATATCAAAGAAAATAAAGAAAAAATAAAGAAAAATTCAAATTCTAGTAATGAAAAAAACAAACAAAAAAAAAATTTTTTGAAAAATATGAAAAATAAAAATAATCTTCAAAAAAATAAACATGATGAAAAACTAAAAAAAATTAATAATAATAAAAATAATTATGTTATAAATTCTAGACATGTGAAATACTATCCATTAGAAAAATTAAGTTCATTGAAAGATTCCTTAAAAGAAATTAATAAAAATAATATTAAGAAAAATGAAAATGAATTAAACGAGAACGAATTAAATGAAAATAAACTAAATGAAAATGGTACAAAAAGGAGTAAATCTAAACATGATAAAAATGAGCATAAAGGAAATGAGAATATTGAGAATTTTAATTTTAATAAAGAAAAAAATATAGATGATATTAATAATGATACAACTTCAAGTAAAAAGAAAATTTTAAATGATATGCTAAAATATAAAAAAATAAATAGTAATAATTCATTAATTAGTGACAAAATGCATATGAACAAATTAAATAGCTCAATGAATAATATATGCGATTTGAAGGTTGAAAACTCCGTTATACCAACCACAATTGATAATACTATTCTAAACAAAGATATTAGTAATTATATGAAAATAAAATCAGTGGAAAATTCATATTTAAATAATAATATGAATGAAAACAAAAAAAATTATATGAGTTTAGATTGTGAAAATAAAAGAAATGATATTAATCTAAGCGAAAGTGATATTAACAAAATATCTAAAAAATCTGATATTACAAAAATAAATGATGAGTTAGAGTTGATGTGTTCAAATGATAATAACATATGTTTAAAATATAATTCTTATGGGAATTCTATGTGTTATCTGGAATCAAGCAATAAGAATTATAATGATTTAAGTGAAGAAGATAATTCATTAATTAAAAACGAAAATTATTTAGCTATTGATAGAAAAAGTCATATAGATAAAATCGAGCAGTTATTGCAAAATTTTCAGGGAAGCATAAAAAACTTTGAAAAAGAAGAAACAAATTTAAATGTAAGTATAAAAAGTAATAGCAATGATAATCATAAAATAGAATCACACATTTTAATGAAAGAAGAAAATAAGCAAGATAGTATACAAAAAAAATGTGATAATAATTTTATTTGTAGTAAATATGAACCCAAAAAGACTGAAATAATCAATTGTGAAGATGATGATAATATTATAAGTAACGAAATAATTAATTGTGAAGATGATGATAATATTATAAGTAACGAAATAATTAATTGTGAAAATGATGATAATATTTTAAGTAGCCAAATAATTAATTGTGAAAATGATGATAATATTTTAAGTAACGAAATAATTATTTGTGAAAATGATGATAATAATATTTTAAGTAACGAAATAATTAACTGTGAAAATGATGATAATAATATTTTAAGTAACGAAATAATTAATTGTGAAAACGATGATAATAATATTTTAAGTAACGAAATAGTTAATTATGAAAACGATGATAATAATATTTTAAGTAACGAAATAATTAATTGTGAAAATGATGATAATATTTTAAGTAGCGAAATAATTAATTGTGAAAATGATGATAATAATATTTTAAGTAACGAAATAATTAATTGTGAAGATAAGAATAATTTAGATAATCAAATATTAAATTATAAATTAATGGATAAAATTAACGAAATGAATGAAGAAAAAATAGACAATATATGTGAAATAATTACAGATAAAAACAAAATTACAAAATTATTAGACAACGATAAAAATATAAAATATAATGAAAATGTAAAAAGTAAAAAGTCAAAATCATTTTTTCTTGATGAAGAAAAAGAAGAACATATGGAAATTTTTAATCGTTTAAATAATAATATTAATCTCCTAAAAAATGAAAATGATAATTTAAGTGCTACAAATAACATTTTAAACAATAAAATTGATAATTTAGAAAACAAATTTGTTTCTTTAAAAAATGAAAATCTGATTTTAAGTAGTGAAATTGATAACTTAAAAAATGAAAATTATATTTTAAAAAATGAATATAATAATTTAAAAAACAAAAATGATATTTTAAAAAACGAAAATGGCAATTTAAAAAACGAACATAATAATTTAAAGAATGAAAACGATAATTTAAGAAATAAAGATGATAATTTGAAAAACGAAAATGATAATTTAAAAAATGAAAATGATTATTTAAAAAATGAAAATGATTATTTAAAAAATGAAAATGATAATTTAAAAAATGAAAATGATAATTTGAAAAACGAAAACGATAATTTGAAAAACGAAAATGATAACTTAAAAAACGAAAACGGTAATTTGAAAAGCGAAAATGACAATTTGAAAAACGAACATAATAATTTAAAGAACGAAAACGATAATTTAAGAAACGAAAATGATAATTTAAAAAATGAACTTGATAATTTAAAAAATGAACTTGAAAATCTTAACCTGAGTGTTATATGCAAAGATGAAAAATTTAATTTAAATGAAGAAAATTATAAAATGAAAATTGATATGCTAAAACGTGAAATTGAAAACATAAATAATGAAAAAATCAAGTTACTCGAATCAACTGAAATAGTAGAAAATGAATTTATTGAATCAAAAAAGAAATTAGAAAATATTAAATATAATAATGAAAAATATACAAAAGAAATAGAAGTTTTAAAAGAAGAAAAACATGTAATAGAAAAAGAAAATGAAAATTTAAAAAAGAATAATGAGCAAATTGAAAGAGAATATAAATTATTATTAAACGATAAAGAAAATTTAAAAACAGAAAAGATGAGCAATATACTAAAAATAAACTATTTAGAAGAACAAATAAAGAGACAAAAAATACATTTAAAAGATCTAGAACGGGAATTAAAAAGTAAAGATAAACAGTTATTAACAAAAGAAGAAGAAATAATAAATCATAAGTATTTAATAGATGAAGTAAATAAAGAAAAAAAAATGCTTGAAAATAAATTAAATATGTATGAAATACAAAATGAGCAAGTAATGTTAAAGTATGAAGAAAAAAAAAAAATAGAAATAGAAGAAATGAAAAATATTATTGAGTGTAGGGAAAAAGAACTTTTAGACATAAAAACAAACGAAACTCTTCTAAAAAAAGAAATAGAGCTTTACGAAGAAAATATGAATATAAGTAAAAATAAAATAAAATACATTCTAGAAGAATCGAAAGCTTATAAAAATGAAATAGAAGAACTCAAAGAACAAATGGCACAACTGAAAGAAAAAAAAAAGCACCTATCTATCAACAATACAGAACTTTTAAATAAAGAAAATAATCAACTAGGAAATGAATATTCATGTTATGAAAAAAGTTATAAAATTCCATTAAATGAAGGAGAAAAAGAAATTATAAATATACAAGAAAAAGTAAAAAATAAGAAAAATGATTTGATCAATAATTGTAGCATAATTAACAGTAGTGATGAAGATGAAAAAAAAGATGAAATAGAATTAAAAATTAATAAAGAAATATTAAATAATTTATTTAAAGAAAATAAAAATATAGATTCACTAAATAACAGTTGCTTAAAATTCTTTCAAAACAAAAAAGATTTATTAATGAATGATGAAAAAGGAAATACAAACAAAATATTATATAAAAATTATGATAAAATATGTAATGAAATAAGTGATTTAGATATGCCAAGGTTACAAATAAAATGTAAAGATTTGTTAAAGGAATATATATTTTTAGAATTATTAATTAATGAATATGAAAAAAGCAACTTATATTTACATAAAACAAATAAAGAATTAAATAAAAAATTAGTTGAATTAAAATATTCATTAGACGAAAAATGTGATGATAAAAAGGATGAATTGTTTAATAAAAAAATGTTCAATGAAGAAAATCATAATTTAAAGAAGGAAGAATTAGACAAATCACTTAAAATATATGGAAGTAATAAAAATAATGAAATAATAGAAAATAAAATAATTAATTATAAGAATATGTGCATAGAATTAGAAAAATCAAATAAAAAATTATTTGGTAAATTAGAGAAGATAAATAAATTATTAATAGGAGAAAAAGAAAAAGAAAAAGATTCTATATATGAACAAATTTTGAAGAAGACATTAGAAATAATCAAGAATGTTGATATAATAAATGAGGAAATATCTACTTTTAAAGAAAAGAAAAATACTAATGATATTGATTATTCTAATATCCTCATATATTTAAATACCATTTCAGTTGATATTTTATTTATCAATGCAAACATAAGCTCTATCAATGAATATATAAATGAAAATTATATGTATTTGGATATTCATAATTTTAAAAATTCACTCTTTGATTTTTCACAGTATATATTAAGTGAATCAAATTTATATGGTGAGCATATTACAAATTATTTCAAAGCTAAAAAGGAAAATACTAATGAAAATTTAAATGAAAAGAAGATAGAAGAAAGATTTAAGTTTACAAATAATAATATGAATAATAATTCGAAACAAATAGAATTCAAGTTAAATAATTTCAATTCTATGGATTCAAATTTTATCGAAAATGATATGATAAAAAAAGAGGAAAGTTATTTTAATTCTGTAGAAAATTTTTTGTCTTTTTTCGAAATATGCTTTTCTAGTGATTTATTCTTAATTATGATACATTTATGTAAAGGAATTAATGAAATAAATGGCTTTTTAAGAAAAAGTGAAATGGAAAATTGTAAAAATATTATTAGTTTTTTACAAAATATTATGGATGAAATAATAAATTTTTATAGCTATGAAGGCAACACTTTTTTTCTTGATTCTTTTATTGATTTATTCGATCTTTTAAAAAATTACCTAAATAAAATACAATATATAATGAATTACGAAAAAATTAATAAAATGTATAAAGTTATATATGAAATACACAACATCAAAAAAATTATACGATTTATCATTTTCTCCTTTTTTAACTTCCACATAGATACAATTTTTAATGTAAATCAACATGATATGCATTTTAATTCTCATTCAAATGCCAACTGCAATATAAAAAATAACAGTGAAGACGTTAATAATGAAAAAGAAGAAAATAAATTTAAAACTTATCCAAATAACAATTATAATAACTCAATTAGTACAAATAATTTTGGTGGTGGTTTTTATAATCAACCGTATGGTAGTATGAACACTTATTTAACTAATTATTTTAGTGGTTTAAATGAGAGTGTAGATTTTGCTTATAGTAAAAAAAATTCTTGTGATTGGATGAGTTTAGAGTTTTTTTCTTCTTTTTTTAGTAATAAAGAAAATAAAAATTTAAATAAAATAGTGAACGATATATTAGAATTTAATTATAATTCACATATTATTCCTAATTTAATTTCAAATTATGCTGATGAAATGATTATATTAGAAATAAAACAAAATGGGAAAGAAGATATCTTAACAAAAAACGAAAATTATGCAAATTTCTTATTTAAGAAAATTTATGAAAATATGAAATTGAATAATTTGATTATTAATAGTAATAATTTTCTTGAATATTTTGGTGATGAATTAATTAAAAAAAAATTGTATAATAATTTCTTTTTTAAAAAAAATCATTTAATAAATATTGATATAATTCATAAATATTTAAATATTATTTTTAAATTGAATATTGGGATAGATTATGACTACTTTTATCAGCAATTTTTAATTATTTTAAATAAAATTATTTTACAGCCATCTTCTAACAATATAAATAACTGCTGTGATAATGTATTTTTTAATTGTTCAAAAGTAACAAATCATAGTCTTAATAAAAGTGTTTTATTATCTATTAATTCAACAAATAAAACAAATCAAAACAAAACTAATAATCAAAATAATATATATGATAATTACGATAATTTAAATTATCCTTTATTAGATGTAGATAATAAATTTATGAGTATAATATTTCATATGTGGCAAAAAATTGAAATCAATTATTTTTCTAAATTGAATAGTAGTAATATACATGATTCAAAGTTAAATAATAATTTATACCCTTTTTATAATATAAAAAATATTGAAACAAATAAATTAAATATGAGCAAAATAAGAGCTTATAAAAGTGAAATTTTATCAAAAAAGGAAAATTTCAATTTAAATAAAAAGACTTCTCATAATTTAGAAAATAATAATAAAGAAACTATTTATGTAAATTCATTTGTAAATAAATCTAATACTTTTAACAAGATTAATAAAAATGATAACTCAATGGAAACATATTTAAAATTGATGGTTTATGATATATTTAAATGTAAAAACGAGGATAAAATAATTGGTATAGATGATTTTCTTTTTATATTTAAACAGTTACATATTCATATTAAAACAAGTGTAATATATGCCATATGGTGTATTATAATTGGTAGTAAAAATATCAATTTAGCTTTAAAAGAAAAAATTCCTGTTTCTTTATTTATTAAAAAAGCATACACAACTAATCCATCATTAATTTTTTATGAATATTGTAAAACAAAAATACAACTTAAAGAAGCAAAGAAGAATATCAAATTATTACAAAAATATAATAAAAAAATACTTTTGTTAGTTAAAAATTAGTTTTTTCCATTTTAACACATGTATTCATTATTATTTATAATTTATCTCATTAAAATTATAACATATTCAAGAGATATATAATTAATTTTATAAAGCTTATGTTATTTATTCTTCATATTCTTATTACTTTTTCTTTCTTTTTCCTTTTTTTTATTAAAAATTGAAAATTAAAAAAAAAAAAAAAAAAAAAATTTCTTCTTAAAAAAACAATTCTTTTTAATGTTTTAAAAATATTGTTAAATTTCCTAATAATAATTTTATGTATATTATTTATGAAATGAAAAAAATATATGCTTTTTACTAAATTTATTTAATCTACATTCAAAATATTGTTTTATATTTTTGTGAGAATTGTTTAAATTTATTCAAGTATTTTTTTTTTTTTTTTTTTTAACATATATTATTATAAACCTTTTTCTATAAAAACAAAAAATAAATATATATATATTTTTAAAGATAAATATTTTTTTAAAATATTAATTTTTTTTATGTTTCATTTTGTTTTTTTGAAATTTGTATTTTTTTTTTTTTTTACATTTTTAATTTGTTTTAAAAATTCTTTTTTTTTAAAATTATGATTATATATATCTTCATTTTTAAATAGATTATAGTTATTAAAGATTTTTTTATTTTTCTTTTTTATTACAAATTTGAATTACATGAAAATATGATTGAAGACAACATTAAAAATAGGAAATTTTTTTTTTTTAATTGGAAGTAAAATACTATTAAGAAAAATATGTTTAAAATTATAGATAAAATAAAACCGAACATATTTTTGCAAAATGTTAAAATAAATAACACGAATAAATTTTTTTTTCCCCAAAAAAATAATAAATTACGTTTTTCTTCAAAAGTTGATAATGTTAAATTTAATGCTGATGATAACATATCAACTAATTTTCTTGAAGAACAAGAACTAAAACTAATATTTAATAAAAAAGTTACATTTTCTAGTATATTTGAAGATAGAATAAATGTATTTTTAAAACCATTAGAAACTGACGTAATTTGTGAAGGAAGATTTAACTGCAACAATTTGATTGATAGAGGTAATTCAATAATTATAGATGATAAAAAAAATGATATAAATAAATTAAGCGATGATAATAATAAAGAATTAAATGAATTACACAATGAAAATCCAAATAAAAATGATCTCAAGGAAAATAATAATAATAATAATAATAATAATGAGAATAAAAAAAATAATTTAAAATTTTTATCATTCGATAGATATAATTTATTATCTAAAGGAAAGCATATGTATATATATGATTTTGAGATTTACAACATTTCTGAATTAAGTAAATACGACGCAGGTGAAATTGTAAATGTTTATTTTTACAATAAAGAAAAAATTGGTATTGGGTTGTTAAATAGAAAAAGTAATATAGTTATTAGAATAATAGAAAGAGATATTTCAAAAGTAATAGACGATAGATTTTTTATAAAAAAGTTATATGAAAGCATTAAAAGAAGATTTAAATTTATTTATAATATAAATTTATATGATTATATTTATTCATTTAATGTAAGAAATAATACAAAGATATTTTGTAAAATTGTTAATTCAGTCAATGATGAATTACCAGGTTTGGTTGTTTATGTATTTGATAAAAGTATATATATAAGATATGATAATTTAATTATACAAAAATATAACTATATTTTTGAAAAAGAATTAGAGAAAATATTTTCACCAAAAAATATGTACTCCAAAAAAATAATTAGTAAAAAAGAAAAAAGAGCACAAAAAGGAAAAGAATACATCTTAGAACAACTGAAAGGTGATGACCTTGAATTAAATTATTGTGAAAATAATTATACTTTTTATAATAATATAACAAATATATCATATCATATTTTTGATATAGAAAGTAAATATGATAGAGTTTTTTTGCAGAGTTTAAGTTATTCATCTAATATTTTAAATATAGATGGGAACGTTGGTGAATACATAATAAATACTTCTTTAAAAAACCAAACATATATAAATAATTATGATTGTAGAGAAAATATATCTATTATATTGAGTGATAGTGCTAAAAATACTAACTATATAAATAAAAATATTTCTATTAATAATTGTAAACATATCACGTCATTGCATAGAGAAAGTAATACATATATAAATCTTTATTTTTTTATATAAATTTATTTCCCTTTTTTTTTTTTTTTTTTTCATTATATGAATTATTGTAGATATTCTTGAAGAATTAAATAATATGTCCTTAAATAATTTAAAGTAATATATTTATTATATTTTATTTTTGTTAAAAATGTTAAAATTTGAATAATATAAATACATAATGTATATGATTTAATTCTATTTAAATAAAATTTTAATATTTTAATTTTTGACAGATTTGATTTAATTATTTATAACACAAAAAGTAATATAACTTATAGAAAAAATTCTTATACAAGTATATATGGAAAAAGATATACTGTAACATTTAAAGGAATTCATAAATATTTAAATTATATTTCAGATATCTTACAAAAAAATGGTTAATTTTTTTTTTTTTTAAATTATATACTGTTGTATCTTAGTTTAATTCTAAAAATCTATTTTATTTTATTTTATTTTATTTTATTTTATTTTATTTTATTTTATTTTATTTTTTTTTTTTTTACTTTATAGGATTATTATTCATAACAGTTGAATTATCCACTTCTGATTATCACAAATTTTTGAATATTGTTAAATGTGTATTTGAAAATAAAAAGAAAAGTATTTCTATTGTATACGAAAACTCTTGTAGTATTGAAAATAAGTTAACATTTTTAAAAAATTAAATGATTGGCTATTATAAAATCCTATATGATTAAAAAAAAAAAATTTTTTTTTTATTCATTTAATTATTAATTTGTTTAATGTCTTTCCTTTTCTATTTAATTATACATTTGCATAATTATATCTAAATTCATTTTTTATTTTTGTTTATAATCAATTTAAATTTTTATGAAATACTAATATATTTTCAATTTATTTTTGTTTTAGATTTATATTCATAATTATATTACAACTTTTTTTTATTTTTTTTTTAGCATATTATGTATTGATGAAAATGCATGGTATATGAGATCTGTGTGCTTCAAGCTAGGAGAATCTTAAATTTTCTTATAATGATGAAATTAAAAATAAATAAATGTTTTTTTTTTTTTTTTTTTTTTTTAATATATTTATTTTTTATTTATATGAAAAGTGCACAAAAAAAAA